GACTATAAGTCAAAGCCTAAATGAACACACACAAGGCGTCTTCTTAGCGTTCAACCAATCATAATTGAAACGAAAAGGACGCCAAATAACATCATTGTGAAAACTCTCATGGGTGCAGCTTTGTCCTGAATAAAAAAGCAACTTAGCCCATCTTAATTAGCCCATTGTGCAGAACGACTGCCAGCGAGTCTAAGTCTTCGACTTTCTTTCACAAAAACTTGCTATATTATCCTGCGAATATCTTATCCTCTTATGCGGTGGTTTTAATCGCGGGAATTTACGTTCCCTCACACTTTTAAGCATCGATGATCTTGTCTCCTTTAATACTTGCGCAGATGCCCCCCCCCCCCTTGATCATATTCTGACTAACCACAGCAAGTTTTTTTGCGTTAAACATAGGGCTCCATTGTCAGGTTCTGATCATTCTACTTTATTGGGTCTTCCGAAAATCTATTCCAATTCTAAACACGCACTGTCAGCCAAACCTGAGAGAAAGGCTAAGGTTCGCAACACGACTGCACAAAACATTCTCCTGCTTCAGACTTGCATTTCTTATACTATCCGCGCTTTCCTTGAACAATCGAAATGTTGAATCCTGCTCTTCCAACCTAATAGCGTTTTTAAATGGAATTTTTGATATTTGCTGTCCTCTTGATACTATAATGGTACAACCGGATAGAATTTCTTTCCCTTATCTGAGATCGTTAAGACGTAAAAAAGAACTCCTTTACAAGCTAGGCTTACGTGACAGCCTTAAGGATGTTACCGTCTTAACAAAAACTGAGATTGACAGGCTAAATATCCTGCTTGTTAGTCAACTTTTTGACTCTTCTTCCTCTCAACTTTCCCCATCCCTCTGTTGAGATTTGAAAGAATTTTAAGCGTCTCACTGGCCATCGCAACACATTGGTACATGTGGATGCTGATTTAGACTCCTTCAATAAAATTTTTATATTTAATCACAATGACTCCCATCCTCCCTTAGATGACATTCCCCTATCACCATGTGCTTTCCAACCCGTGTCTGTGGCGACACTAGAGAAACACCTTAAAAAGGTCTGTGGATCAACAGCTGCCGGACCGGATGGTGTCTGGCCTTTTCTTCTTAAATCTTGTTGTTCTCAGATAGCCCCTATTTTAACGCACCTGATTGATATGTCTTTCACGGAGTCCAAGATTCCCGACTCCTGGTGTACCTGAGAATCATTCTCATCCCTAAAAAACACTGATTTTGGTCCTAAATCTTTTCACCCAATTGCCTGCCCCTCTGCACTAAGGAAGCTTGCTGAACGAGTTACCCTGGATAGTACAAGGCCATTTTCTTCCAATTTTTCCGACCCTTTACAATTTGCATACAAAGCCAAACTTAGTACTCTAGATGCTGTTGCTCTTGTGGTCCACTCTGCTCTAAAAGAATTAGACAAGGGTTGCAGCGAGTACGCATGTGCTTTTCTTGGCTACTCCTCCGCCTTCAATACCGTCCCGAGCCCTCTTCTCCTTACCAAAACATCCGCGTGTGGCTTTCTAGACTGGGTCGTTTCTTGGTTTACTGATTTTTTTACTTCCCGCACTCAATTTGTCCAATCTGGCAAGCGGAAATCTATGGTCTTTCCCAATGACTGCGATGTTCTTCAAGGTTCCATTCTATCCCCTCACCTTTTCTCCCTCCACAGCGACTATCTAGGATCTCCTAATGGCCGTCTTTTGATAAAGTATGTTGATGATGTGGTTGTTGGACACCCTCTTAAAAGTCAGACACACCTCCAGTCTCTAAAGGATGGCTTAAATCATGTCCCAGTATGGTCGGAGGAAAATGGTCTCCTAATGAACAACCAAAAATCAGTTCGGTGTATTTTCCGAATGCGGCCCTCTCCTAGTCCTGAATCCTCTGACATCCTCCCTAACGAGGTATGCTCTTTCAGGTAACTTGGCGTTACTTTGTCCTCAAATCTTTCATTTTCTCTCCATATTTAGTCCCTATTTACTAAAGTTCGTAAACTTCTATATTACATACGTCGTTTACGTTCCTACCAACCACCTCAACCCTTAGTCTGGGGATTCATCGATGCCTACATTCTTCCTCTTATCCTATACTGCTCTCCTGTCATTTTTCCTGCTTTGCTTAAAAAAGATCTTTTGATTTTGAAACGAGTCATCCGCATGCTCTCTTCTGTCGCTGGTGTTTCTTATCTTTTTTTAGTCGACATTATCCTACAACGACATTCCACTACGGTCAAGCAATTTACTGGTCGGATTATAGATGAGGTTGCCCATCCCTTGCATTCTGATCTTATTTCTGCGAAGTCTTCTCGCCCGATGCGCCGCGGATTCCGACTTCTGCCCTGTCGCACATCGGCTTTTCGAGCTTCTGTATTGCCATTCCTGGCGCACTATCTTACGTGCGAAGAGATAAAAATACAGAAGCTAAGACTTGAACTGTCCTCATAATAATCGTTCCTTTTGTGTTAAACTTTGACTCTTGAATAATCTATTAACTTACTTTTTTCCATAATGAATGGGCCAATTTTTTGCTGAAAATTTTGTATCTATGATTACAAGATAAAGCGAATCCCTCTCTCTCTATCTTACGCGACGGCTAAGTTTCCGCAAGTGTGTATAATTCCGGATCCATAAAATCATCCCACTCGGAGTGCTGCTACTCAGCTTCTGCTTTCACCTGTTACAATGTGATTTCTAACAGTTGCCTTCCTTCGCTCACCCCTGAAGACGTGCACAGCTCTGCGCAGGAATCTTTTGCGTGAGAAACACTAGGTGCCTACATAAACGGAAAACGGAATTGAACAGACAACCTCTAATGGGCGCCACATCGGAAGTGATTGACGTGTGTGGTTAGCGTGGGCCACAGGGCATCGCGGTCAATTCGCGCGATTGACCAGTCGTCTGCCATAGAAGTGGACTCTCACGATAAAGTCCATTACTTCCTTAGCGATCGGTGGTCAAGTGAAGGGCATTTGGTTTTAAAAATGTTTCTAATTGTGAGTTTTTTAATACCGTTAAATGGCCGTTCATGAAACGTCATGTATCTGCATTTAGGAATGTGGCTTGTAAAGTTAACAATATTGCTCAAATCCACTGCTTAATTTTATGAAGCTCATATGGTCTCCTCTTAAAACCGTAGAGAAATGCATGGTTTTCCGTACACGGAAAATATGCAGCTTGTAGTTTTTAAACCCTGAATGCAAGTGTGACAGCAGGTCGTGTTCAAAATTATTTGGTAATCAGAAAAGTTTTTTAAAACCGAATTATACTCTTCTTTTGAGTATGAAATTGGAAGAAGACGTGATTTTCTGCCGAATAAGTAAAAGAATGAATATTGTTATGCATGTTTTCCATGAAATATAATTGAATTTTCAAGGGCATCGAAAATCAATGAGAAAATTACATACTACATAAGTAGTCATTTTTTGCAGAGTATAGATCTTGCATGCAGCCGAAAATAAGTTCTTTCGAAAGCCAACACCCTGAGATAACTGGATCATTATAGATTTATGCTGCATCATGATTCATTTTACAACACCACTTAATTTATCTTTTCGAAACGAGAACGCATTTCGAAATTTTGGTTGACACTTCATGAGTTAGCACATCTACTGTATGTCAGAATCTGTCAGGAACGGAGCTTTGTTGCGTCTCTTAGTTGTCGACACTCTGGGTCTATTTGCTGGTCGGGATCGTCCCCAATGGGTATCTCACTTTGTCCTCTGTAGCTGTCACATGGCCAGAACTATAGAGAGCTTTCCGTCACACATTCTGGCAACGGAGTTAGTGCTACGAACGGACATTTGGCGAAATATGGCCAGTGAACATTCCAGTATGAGGGATGTGTAATGCGGATTGTACTATAATGGAGCAAGCTCCAAACAGACAGCTTATATTCGCTTTCAACTTAGGTCACTGTCAAATTGCGTTCCTTTTTAAAGGCATTTGCTGTCGGGATGTGAAATGTCCTTTTGCGCACATAGGCAGTTAATTTTAGTGGATGCAGTCTAATAAATAATCGGTACTTTTGCCTTTTTTAAATTGACGAGCATAAATTATTTCAGCTAGTTAAACCATTGTGCACGAACAAAATTTTCCACGACGTCAATCCCAGGGTAGGTTTTATAATTGTGGGATAGTTAAATTGCCAAATACCAAAAGAGGGACTAACTTTCAGTAGTAATTTAGCTTTAACTTCTCTAGTTCTCGTTGGAGTGAGCGATGGAAACAGGGAGCAAGGATTGTGCGTTGGATGACAGGATACCTTAACATAAAACCTGTATATGCTTCTTGCTTATGTTCATTTGTGCCTTAGGGGGCGTGGAAGGTTTCATTTTGACCCACCTGTGAAAACCTCGGTGCCTCGGTAGGATTTGAACCCACGACAGCAAGGGGAGGCTTTGGTACAGCCAACCCTCTAGGCACCTGAGCTACGAGGCCCCACGGAAGACGTCAGTTTAATCACATTTGGGTCAAGTTTACTCACCCAACCTACTGCAACGTCTGGAATCCACCACGTCTGATACAGTAGGCTGACTGCCCAAGCAGGATTTCCTAAATAATACATCTAGAGTCTACCAGATGGCTACCAGGCTCACGTAATTCAGAGCTGTTTTGGTAGATTTCAAATAAGTCACCTCTCTCAACCTCTGTACTGCTAAAGCATTCATGCATCGCTTGTCAGATAGGCAGTCTTTTAAATGATTTTTCTGAGGGAGGAAGCGATGCTGTCAAACCTAATCTACCTAACGACGATGTCTCACCCAAGCTATGTGCATTCAATTAGCGTGAAGCAATGAACATTTGCCCGCCCTCTTTCGGCGTTCCGTCATGTGTTCATGCGGCCAAGTATATGCAGTCCTATTTAATTCCTTTGGCTGTTTTAGTGGCGCGCATTTTGCCCTGGGCCGGCACATGATGTAAAGACGATGTAATAGTGCGTACAGTCGCCAGGGAAAATGAGCGTAAGCGATTTATCCGTTTTTTTAAAAATGGGGAGATCCAGACTGAAGGATGATCAGGGAGGGGAGCAATAAAAAGGCAATTTTAACAAATCCTCACCACTGTACGATGAATATTTACAGTTATTTAGACTTGCACCAAATGTAACTTCTTTTATACTTGCTAAAATCACCATCTTCCAATGACAGGATGGACGGTGAGTGGGTGCTACGACGGACAGAACAACGTAACGTGTCTGAGTGCGCCACATACTTGCTGACTCCCAGCTTCAAGCTACCGGATTTAAGTGACGGTGTCGCGTACCTCACATATGTGAGACAGGCCAGAAATGCCACAGCAGGAATATATGATTATTGTTTGGTCTTAGATAAGAGGGAAGGCTGAATGATCTCGGTGGCTTACAAACTTCAGAGTTACAATCTGAAGCGCGTCAGGGTATCGCAGTGCAGACCTCAGCCTATCTTCCATCTCCCATCGCCTGTCCGAGTTTGTAAACCGACTGCTGAAGAGGCTAGGCTTAGTGAGTGACGTGATATGAACCTAAAACATAAACCTAAAACATAGCATGAACAGAAATGCAAACATTATTCAATGTCTCACTTGGAATTCAGACAGCCGGACTGACTCATGACACATAACAATTTATCCTAGTTTTATCGTAGTGTGAGAAACGAGGCAGCTCGATTGCTGGGCCGACGTTCAAAGAGCAGGGCCTTTATGGCATGATTGCACTCAGGTCTTATGACAGGCCTGACAGTACGTTCAAAGAGGCAAAAAGGTAAATTCCAGGAAATGGTTGAGAAGAAGGAGGTGAGAGCACCACAAATGCAGTTTCGTAAGGACGCTATATTCTCGTGTTGAGAGCCAGTGGGCAGAACCAGAAGAGAAAGTTTGCGGAGTTGTAATACTTTCAACTGGTGCTCATAGCAAATGGCTACCTGCGTAACTATGTCAACAGGTGCATGTACAAACCAAACGAGGGACGAAACCGCACTAGCTCCGAATTTTGGTGAGCACTTTCGTATGTCAAGGAGGTCTCAGAAGCCGTCAGCACCCTTCTCTCAGCATTCGGAGTTCGAGGTGCACACTGGCCGGAGGCAACTACAACGTGCCAACTAATGAGACCAAGAGATCCACTGTTATGGCAAGAAACATATGGAGCCCTTTGCTACATCTGGTCAGCTGGAGACAGAACGAACACACCTAACTACCTGGGAGATAAATTCTGACGCGAATGGCCGAACATGCGGCAGCGGTGAAGGCAAATTACATAAGCTCTCAGGTTGCGACTCATTCAGCAGGACAAGGCCAAAATTATCGCGAAAGGTGACCACCACGTGCGAAGCAGGCTGTTCTCTCCGTGGTTTTCCGGTCTGCAGTCGATTAAGAGGTGCAATTTCTCCTTCCGTCCATGTTCAGCAAGGAAACATTGGCTGGACAGAGAAGAAGTCTGTCCTCAGTGGTAATATCAGCGAACCAAGTTTCCCAGTTATCAACACGTTACTTATCAACACCAGTTACTAAATTGCAATATTTAACGACACGGGATCTGGCGAGGAAATAATCCTTAAACCAGTATGTTATTACCGACAAAGACAAGGGAGATTGGAATGGCAATTTCTGGCTTACTAGCCGTCATCAGCCAGCCATACCTACTCCCGAAGTGTGGAACACTCGAGGCTCGAACTCGCGACCTGTTAGTTAGAAGTCCACGTCTCTAACCACTGGGCTACGAGCCCGTTGTACTGTCGGCTTTCGATCGGGAATATACAATGGTAGGGGGCGCTCACCGATCGTTCTTACGGAACTCGCTCGTTCCGTTGTGCCTTACGGGCTCTCTCTCGAGCCCAACCAGCAGCTGCACAGCGGCGCACGATATAGGCAGTATGTTATTACCAGCAAAAGCAAGGGAGACTGGAATGACCATTTCTGTCGTCAGCCAGTCGTACCCAATCCCGAAGTGTGGAACACCCGAGGTTCGAACGCGTGACCTGTTAGTCAGAAGTCCAAGCCTCTAACCACTGGACCACGAGCTCGCCCTATCGGAATCATTAAACCATTTATGATCCCTGATGATGAGTGCGGGGGCTGCTGATCAACAACTAGATCCTACAAATTCTACTACCCTTTTGCGTTCATAAACGTTATCTACGACTATCAGCGATGGTCGATTCGAGTGAAGGCGACGGCAGGGTGAAGGACTCGGATGAGGACTCGGTCAATCGATTTATCGATCTGGCGCCGGCGTACAGAGCCCTGCGTAGTCAGCTTCAGTCTTGCGCCGTCGGTCGATGATTGGCCCACATGCACTGTAACTGCCGCTTGTCCTGGTTCTGCCACTACCTCTGACGATGGACTCCTGCACGAGTCTGAAAGCTCAGGACAATAAAGGAAGTGTTCCGGTGCTCGACCTTTTTTCGTCACTTTACTTAACTGTTGATAGACTTTGAATTGCGTCATCTGGGAATGGCGGCAAATGGGGGTTTTACGGGTGGGCAGAACGCCAGACAGTAAACTGACGAAATGAAAGAAAACACATAAATTGTTTGAATTTCCGCCGAAAGTCATATCGTACGTTTTCATATGCGAACAGAAATGAGCGTGTCAATTTAAAAAATGGCAAGATCGCAGTTGGTAGCCAGGACCCATATTACAGGTGGCGAGGGGGTTTGTTTACTAGGGCTATTTTGTGGGGCTCCATAATCACATCTGACCCATTGGGCTTCCGTTTTACGTTTGAGATAAGGATAGGGGTACCGATTAATGGTTCCCGATGTTCGGGTTAGGGTTATGCCATTAGGCTTAGGCTTTCGGGTTACGGTTAGGGTTTGAGCGTACGATTAGGTTTCAGTAATACGGTTAGCTTTTTCAGTTACGGCTATGTCTAAGGGCTACGGTTACGTTTACGATTTCGGTTAGGGTTAGGTCTGCCGTTAGGGTTAACGGTTAACGTTTAAGGTTGAGGTTAGGGTTAAGGTTGAGATCGCCGTTGCTTCCCCATTCCTGGCTACCAACTGCGATCTAGCCAAAAAATAGTCGAAAAGCAAATTTTCAACAAAAGCGGTGCTTGAACAACGGTTTGAAGTCGGGGGAAGTAATTGAGGTCGGGAAGTAATTGTTTTTGGCAGTGTAGTGTCTGAAACGGCCTGCAAATGGATGCCAAGATGGACTCCCATATGACAAGATCCACAGTCTACCGACAGTTGGGTTGCGCCCTTCATCCTACTGTTGCTTGAGTAAGAACCCGAAATGCCAGATGGATACGATTCTTATTTCAGCGATGGCATTCAATTCTTCACTTCTGCGCGCACTCTGCCTACTCCAGTCGCCTTGAGCCGGGACAGATGTACAGGATGCTGGGTGTCGCCCTCGCTGTGGTTGAAATTACGCGCAAGTCATCAGCCGGCGTTAGCGACGGAATGGCCATCGTGACTCAGCCCCGCTGACTCTTTTGTCTATCGTTGTTGGTCGTATGCGCATTATATGGCGCAGGAGTGGACACCCATGGGCGCATATAGCCTATCCCCGTCATAATCTTAATCCACAGTCTAATTGGGACATTGCTTGCTTAACAGGGGATGATATTTACCTGCTTCAGGCGCAATTTCTCAAAAGATATAAGGCCAACTTACTTATGCCCTCCCCTTCGGCAGAATCATTTGTCCATTTGAAAACTTTGAGTCATTTCACTTGTAAGATTGTACCAAAAAAATGTGTCGAGTCACTTTCGGTTCATTCGTAAATTCCACAAACAAGTACTGATGGTTTGCTTCAGGAAACCAATGCGAAATATCAGTGCAGAAAATCTACACGAGACAAAGAATAAGTTCAGATGCCCAGGCAGTTCCCAAGAATGCTTGACTGCCCTGTATGCAAATTTGGCAGGGATAATCCCTAGACTACCGAGTGGATAGAAATTATTCGGCGAGAACCGAACTTACTGTTGGAAAGTTAGGTGACTAAGTAGTGGGGAAAGTCCTCCCCTCCTCTAATGGGCGCATATTTTGCTTAAAAAACTTTATGTAGGGGTAACGGGGTTTTGGGTAAGATGTGGTTATGTAGCCCCACCTGATGGACACAATACTGTTGGGGTTGGGGTTAGGGGCTGGAGTTAGGGGTTAGGGTTAGAGATTAAGACTAGGGGTTAAGGCAACTATTTCTCACCACTCAAAGTACAACCACGCATTCCCAATAGCTTTTCATTCGCATACAATTAATTGACCTCGTCACCTGTACGTACCACAGCCCCACCTGCTAAAAGTACTATTACAAGCGGTCCCGTATTGCAGGTGCCTGGGGTTTGTTTACTTCAGGCAGGGCTACATAACCACATCTGACCGGATTTTGTATCAGTTAAGTAGATTGGCTTCAACGCACAATTAGACTTAAAACCGAGTTTGGCAGAAAAGAGTCTCAAAGTGCTCAAACAAGCCGAAGTCATGCTGGCGAGAGGAATAATCGAGGCCTGCTAATCCACTGCCAACTCAATCAACTGCAGCGTCGGCCTACAAGCACCATAGGAGGCAGCCGGGCACCACCTACGCGCGAGGGGAGACCCAATGAGAAGAGAGAATGATGTATGTATCAGGCGTGAGTGAGATGGACTTATCTAGACTGCGCATTCCTTATCTCGCCTATCTCCGATGATGTGTTGGAATAAAATTGTGAAACGTCAGATGAATATATCATCTCCAGAGCTCGCCTTACCTTCTTTTTCCATCTTGACACCTAGAGTCAGCATTTTCGCCTATATCCATGTAAATATATATGTATATCGACGGGAAAGACGGAAAGGCGATCTCTGGAGTCAACGTTTTATCCGTCCGATATTTCGAAATTTCACGCGAGCACATTGTTGCGGAACGACGAAAGTGGACATCTCGTTGCATATTTTACTCACCGCTGCCGAGAATGACCTTCTGCTCTGTCATTGATTTGTCGGCGCAGTGTCTGATCAGCTGACAGACCAATGTGCGTAGTAATCAATTTATCGATCGCTTGCCCAGCTTCCGGTAGTAGGCACGATATCACGTCCTTTGACTGACCCAAGATCCTCCAGCGATCGAAAGCGAAGATGTACTTTGGCGAGGGTTAGTGGGTGGCCATTCGGGATAGTTTATCTCTCCGCCTCACAGCTGGCTCCTGTGCATGCAGTCTTGTGTGGACACTTTTACCGGTCCCACCAACACTCCTGGCTTGACCACAGTTGGATTTTAGCTGGTAACTGACCCCCGATTTTTGATTAATGATGCATGATCTGCCAGCGGAATGGCGCTTCCGGTTTGCGAGCGATTCCAGTTGCACGTTCGTTCATCAATCTGGTTAATTCTTCGGGCGCAGCATCAGCACACGGTGCGGTGCGCCAACACTTTGGTTTTGGCTGCGCTCTCGGGTTTCTTCCACCGGTCCCTCTCACCCATATTTTCATCAAATATCAGGTAAAGTTTCTTAGTATAAAGATGTTCTTGGTGACATTGCATTGGAAATGTCGTGTAATGCCCGCGAACGCACTATGCATTATGACGTAACGCAAATACGCATTTATAATACAGAGTTGCTTACGTTATCAAACTTTGTGGTCACAGTTGAAAGATGCAAACGTCAACTACAATGCTCCTGCTAGCGTATTCCTCCTGTGGCTCTTTTCAATGAATGCAGAAGAGATGCTTTGGAGCGCGTGTTCTCTTGGAAATAAGATGATACTGCGGCCCGGAATTTCAAAAATTTTGAGAACGATTTTTGCTGCAACACCAGACCTGAATTTGGTAAGGGAAAAATGCAAGTAAAGTCCAAAACTAGTATGGGAACACTCGGTTTTTGGCGGGGATAAGGTCAACGGCACTTGTGATGGAGGTTCAGAGCATGGAAACGAAGTAGTGTGGAAGATGCTCATGGCCCTTATCTATTACGTCAACTTGACAGACAGTTGCATACTACGGCTGGCAAAGGAAATCGAAAATATAGTCGCCAAGTGTAACTTATGAAGGAAAGGTAGACTAGAAAGGCAATTATGGGCTCATCTGTCCCATCAGTCAGTCGTACCCTGGCTGCAAGCCTGGAAAACGGAATCTTTGTTCACCAACTACTGGAATCAGACAATCTATCGTCGAGTTAGGGATTCACGTCCTATCAGCTGCTATGGAGCATATCCAAAATCTAGGCAGCAGCAGCAGCAGCAGCAGCAGCAGCAGCAGCAGCAGCAGCAGCAGCAGCAGCAGCAGCAGCAGCAGCAGCAGCAGCAGCAGCAGCAAGCCAGGACAGTATTAATTGTTGATAGAAGCGGACAGGCGAGTTCCAGGTAGCAGTTCAGAAGACGAAGATGCGATCACTGGAACAAGAAATTTATTGGCCTGACGTTTCGGATTCTCACTCGAATCCATCACCAGAGAAATTTGCAGATAAATGTGATGGTAGCACAAGAAGTGCAGTATTTATAGCATGTGGTTGCCGTGGGACCGTATGCGCTCTGTAATTACCAGCTCTCGCAATCACCGCTGGGGTCGTAATTGATGCGATGCTGGCTTGTCCGTCCGAGTCCGAGTCGTTAATGGCCGTGATTTCGTCATCCGTGCTGGATGCTGGTGTGACGATTGCTCTGCAAATTGACTCACTGTCACTGGGATAATTGCTCGCCTGCGCCCTCCCCACGTGACTGATTCCCCTCCCCAGGGAAAATCTCAGCACGGAACATGGTACCGGGAGGTCACTGTGTTTGTTGATGGATTGCGAGTCTGAGAACCATGACTCGAGCAGCTCGCGGCTCACGCGGTTATCACCCCTTGCGAGGATGTCGGCCTCTTGAAATTTGAAAATATGGCCGGGTCCCGTCGAATGAGCCACCACCTTAGAGCTAGCGTCTCCCCGCCTCACTGCTGCTACGTGCTCGGCAATTGCATACGGAGTAATCTCCCAGTTTCTCCGACATAGTTGCTTTGTCCGCAACTACACCAGATCCGGTAAACGACTCCAGACGTTTCCTGCCGTGGCAGCGGGTCTTTTGGCCTCATGACTTGGCGCCTAATGGTTGCTTCCAACCTGTGTGCAACCCCAACTCCAAGTGGAGTGAGAAGACGACTGACGGCTTCCGAGACGTTCTTCACGTACGGAAGAGCCCGCCAAAATGTGGGGCCGGTTGGATTTGGTCTCTGGTGTCCTCTTCGTATGCACTGGTTGACAAAGTTGCGCGGGTAACCATTGGCTCTCATTACCCGTCGAAGATATTGTAATTCAGTAACCTTGTCTTCCATTTCACTGCAGTGCGTCTCTTGAAATGATGATGGATTCGAGTGAGAATCCGAAACGTCAGGCCAATAACTTTCTTGTTCCAGTTTTAATAGCGTTCCGTGCTCACATTTGAAAAGACGGTCAGGAGTAACGGCACGCCTGACTCCTTTTCAAGTTTGCGGGGCATTTCTTATCATGGCCTGAGGGATATTTGGCATGGTCTAAACTCACGCTCATGTCAAAGGAAAAGACAAACCACAGATGGTTGAGACGAACGTGTGCAAGTCACCTTGAGGAGGTAAACTAATTCGTGAAGGCAGTGGGTTAACATTGAAAACAGGCAGTAAATAGATCCTAAGCCGATATTCCGGCGAAATCAACGGTTTGGCGAATCCCTGCGTCGAACGTTTCTACTTAGAAAAGGCCAACTGGTTTCTGAGAAAAAAATTATTTCTCAAAACGAAAATTGGAAGAAATTCCAGAAAAATGCTTTCCCTTCTGCAGTCAACGCCTCGGGAGACTAAATTAGCCGGCACGCTGGAACCCAGCACTGGACTTTATGGACATCCAGGATTTTGACGTACTGGCGGCACAAAAAACCGCCTGATCTGGTATCGAGTCTGCGCCACGTCAACCTATTAACATATCCGCAAAACCCCATCTTGACTGATTGGAATCATATCTCTGTTTATATGCGTGACAGAAATCGCTTTTTGTAATTACGATGTCGATCTGAGCCTAAAGGGGCTTCCCGACTCCCCGCAATGTGCTTGCGCCTCAAAATTTTCCGCGATAATGATGCTAACTTCACTAAGGAAAAATCGAAATGCAAAAATATCTAAGCGGACGAGTGTGGAAATCAACGACACTTATAGGTAGTGCGCTAAAAGCATTATATGAAATTAGACGATAAGAGGTGCTTTTGGAGTCTCACCTGATGAACACAATACTGTTGGGGTTGGGGTTAAAGCTCAGGACTTAGGGTTAGGGTTGGGACAACTATTTCTCAACCATTCAAAGCACAAACGCGCATTCCCAATAGCTTTTCTTTTGCGTGCAACTAATTCACCTCGTCGCCTGTGCGTTCCCTGGCCCCACCTATAAAAACCCCTATTTCCACCGATTCCGTATTAGAAGTTGCTGGGGGTTATTTACTTCAGGTGAGGCTACATAACCACATACGACCAATTTGACAACTCAAATATTGGAAGAAATTCACTAACGTTTGATCGGGACGCGAGAAAAGACCGAGAAGTAACCTGACCATTTTTCACTTTCAATATTTCGAAAAGAATTTGAGGGTGAGGCTAAAGAAACCGCGAGAGGACCCGACTCGACTATGGAATTTTGTTTCCGACAAATATGCAGGTACCCTGCGAGTGCAGAGCGAATGTGACTCAGAAGTGCCTAATATACGATTACATAATCATATGGACGATCTACTTGTACGGAACTCCAAAACGACACTCGGTTGGAAAGGAACTTTAGGAATCTTTACCTTGCCGTGCGAGTTAAATAAATCGCAAAGCAAAACACGTAAAACCCACATTATGAGCTTAAACTCGCCCACCATGCCACCTGGCTACTGAGAATGAGAAAAGACGTGAATAGGTGGTGCTGTCTTACGATTACTGGTGGTTAGGAAGTATTTCAAGGTAAATCAAGGTACTGGAAATACCCACCGCTCGCAACTGTTCCCAGCGATTACGGCCAACCAGTTGATCAGAACTGTGGGCAGGGTTGAAAAATGAGTCCGGAATCTCATCAAGAATCGACAGCACACTGAATTCAGGAAAGATGAAAATTTTGTCTCAAATAAAGTGGGCGAGTTCGGACCAGACTCTTCGAGGCACGGCTTTTTAGGTCGGATCCGAAAAT